GACTCCCTGCAGCATTACCGCTCCCTCTACATTAATGCAGGTGGCCTGTGCCATTACGCGGCTCCCACCGAGTTTTATACCGAAACCTAATTGGGATAATATTCGCATAGTATTATCGTTACGTACAAAGCAAACTGTTTTTTTTTTTTTTTTTTTTTTTTTTTTATTGCTCCCACGCACATTTCAATTTAAAAGCGGCTTTCAGCCCGTACGAATTTTATCGAAACGATGGGATTCCACCGTTGGGATGATGGCGAGAAATTTCGATATACAGAGTAACCCTCGACATATCCACATAACCGTTAACAGTTGCACACATAATATAATACGGTTTGGATAGGTACATCGATTGTGATTTTCAGACACGATCAAGTCGTTTTTCCCGATTAAATCAAATGCGGCATGAAGCGAGGAATGTTAAGGACTCTTTAATAAAAAATCAAAATTGAATCATGTCTGTATAAATATTCAAATACCTAGTGTCCAGGGGTTTTTTTTATCTTTAAGACCTTTAAAAGGTCTGGTCATAAACTAGATGATCGAGAGAAATTAAAGTGGCATTAAGTTTCGTGCAGGTACCCAAGGAATAATATACAAAACAAAGTCCAGTGTTTGCCTTGCCGAAAACAAGTGTAAAATCAAATAAAATTATCGTTATTAACTACAATAATTTGATTATCAAGATTTCCCATTGCAGACTCTTGGTCGTAAATTCTATTCACTACCGATTAATTTCCAAATACTTTCATATTTCTAGTTTTGGTTAATTTTATAATAAAAGTGTAATTATAAACTTAAGCCATAAGCCACTCATCATATATGGGTAAAATACTTTAAAAAATATTTGGAATAAATACTCAAATAATAATAAAAAAAGGATTTTGAATTATTTTTTCGAATACTTTTAAAAATACTTATAATAATTATAGGTGAAAAATTATCTTGGTTACTTAAACATTAATATAGTGTAGTATGTTTATTGAGACATATAATTAATGTGGCTAAACTCAATTACGTCAGTGAATGATTTTTCTATTATAGTTACTTATTCAATACAAAATTCTCTAAAGATTTGCTAACCGTAATTGCTAAGAAATAAGAATATATTGCAATGAAAGCAAAACAATTTACTATAATACAAATACGATATAAGCATAAGATTTAAAATGTGTATAGTATTTCGATAATTTCCACGAACACATTAGAAAAAACCATTATCGTAGTAATACAAAGATATTTTTTTATAAGAATAAGATATATTTTTAAAAGTTTTCTTAAAAGTATTCGAAGTAATTTATTCAGAACACTACCCACATCTGGCACCTACACAATAAAATGTCTATCAAATATTTGAAATAATATTATTATTAAACATAACTAGTGTGATTTATTATTTATGCTAGCCCACTTTTCTAGTATTTAATAATGTATTCATTTTAATTCTGATTTTCGGAATTTAGACTTAGACACTATAATTAGGTGTTTTTAAAATCATAGAATTTTAATGTGGCGATAAAACTATTTTTTTTTAATGAGATCTGTCATTTTTTTCTGTAAATTTTTGAGGAAATTACTTTTTGGAAAATCTTGTTGGATCAAATCCATAAGCGAGAAGCTTCTCAGTTATTAAGTTTTACATAAAATAAAATAAAATGTGTACACAATTCTAAAATTTTTAACTTTAATGACTTTTAATCCAGTATACCTAGTATTTAGCACTACATAAACATACGTATTACCTTATATCATTGAATATTTTTATAAGGTAACTTTTAGTTTTATAACTCAGAAATTACTGATTCGAATGGTGACTCATATATGTATACAATTATACATCAAAGGCCACTTTTTAAGCTTTTAATACAAATGCAAATTATTTAAAAATATGGTCGTTATAAGTATTTTCAGAAATAAAAAAAAATCAGAATTCACACGAATTCACTGAACGAAAAAAAAATGGGGGTGAGCATACTTGGTGAGCTAACCTGTATAAGATGTATTACACAAGTATATATTATAAGTTTATGAATATAACAATAATATGTCCAAATCGTTTTTGGTTCAAGTTTGTGAGCTTAAAATACACAGGTACACCATATTGTATAGTTTACTTGCTGTCCCGTCACGCCGTCACCCGTGAATTATAATATACAGCTATATAAAAAAAACCATTTTACTCCCTTAGGGACTAATTTTGAACAATCCTTTCAAAAAAATTATAATAATATTAATAATTATATTTACAAACGATCTTAATGATATTGTTATTAAAAAATGGTTCAATAGTTATATAATTATAATTTGTATACTTAAACATTATCGCATATCGATAAGAAATGTATTACTATTTTTCGATAACGCAATTTATATAATTGAGCTATTCGGTGTTTTCCATAAACTCTTAACTTAATAAAAATGTTATGTTAGTTAGTAGCTCACAGTATCGGCAAGTATTTTTACGTCATAAATATAGCGGTTGCAGCCGTTGTTACGTATGATAGTCAGTAGACAAATTAACCGTCGTAGTGTCGTGTCGATGCAAATATGTATTACTTATATCATTATACATACTTCCTAGTTGATCCCTTACACTCCGTTGCCCTTTAAAAATACCAACTCTCTGAGACTAGCTTGTGATAATGTGAGCAGTATATTATTGTTTAGGCTATCTACAGATATACGTTGATTCCGAATCCCGCTAGGTGCACACTCTATATGAATATGTTTCATTTAAATTTAATTAATTATTTTGATTACGTACACGTCGGTGAGCGGCTATAAGTGTTAATCAGCCGACAGCCACCTTGATAGACTATGTACTAAAATTCGATTAGACGCATTCTTAAACATGATCAATTGATCAAACAATTAAAAAAAATATCAAGTTCTACTAAAAAAATAAGAAAGTTGAGTGGAAAATTAGTTAGTTATTAATTAAAATAAAAGTACAAATTGTATACCTCAACACATATCGTATGGCACGGCGGCCCACAAGTGACTTAAGTCTGTTTAAAATTTTAAGCGTGATTGCTTAAACTAATCACGATGAACAAACATTTATCTAAAAAATGACTGTACAATTTTTTATTAACCTTCCGATTGATTCCACTCTGAAATGAGCACTAAGAAATTATAAGTTAACTGTTTTAAATGTTTTAAAAGGAATGCCTCGCCTAAGGGAAATAGAGATTCATTTTTTTTTTTTTTATTTAAAGTTGTAGTCGCATTATCATGGAAACCCACAGGTCACCGTGCTGTAAAATATGTATATAGATATACAATTTGTACGTAAACAATTTATTTTTGCCGATTTCCACCCCTTTGAAATCAAAATTTTGAAAAATCCATTCTTAGTAGAACTTGTCATTGTAATATTAATCCTACAAAATTTCAATTCGATAACTCAAATAGGTTCGGCTGTGCGTTGATTATTGCTAAAGTAACTTTCCTTTATATCAGTCATGCCCAACCCGCGGCCCGCGGGCCACATGTGGCCCGCCAAGGTATTCCATGTGGCCCGTTACAAATTATTAAAATAAAACAAAATATTCCAAAAAAAGTAAAATTATTACAAAATATAAAGTTTATATATAGATATATTTCACAGATGATAGGTGTATTATTTCTATAAGTAAGACTTGTATATGTTATCTTTCGCCACATAATATCATTGTTTATGGCTCAATGTTTGCGCTTGACAAATGTGTAAGATATATTATATTTTACATATTTTCAAATAAACATAGTATACCAACCTTTCGAGTTTAGGCTTTCAAATATTAAACTCCAGGTAATATAATGTTTACACGGGATTCGTAATGGGTTTTATTATTTCTTCAAAAGTCACAACAAGGGAAATTAAAAAACAAACAAGCTCAAATAATGAAATAATTACATCAATGCCTACGAAACAACCATTGTATATTACAATCGTTCGACGTGTTTGACAATTCGTGTAATAAAACCATTTAGCACCATCTCAAAGTAAAAAATTGTTTGTAAGAAAAATATTAAACTTACAATTGATATATCTTCTATAGAAGAAAAAGAATGATTGTAATAACTGTCATATATCATAAGTTATTACTTAGTAAAAATTAATTAAGTTGTCCTACACCGATTCTTGTAATTGGGGTTTGATTTAACTGAAATTAAACAAAAAAACGAAAGTGTAGAAACAATTCAGTTATAGACCAAAACGTTTTGCAGATAAAAAATTTGGTTGTGAATACTTTTTTTTCATGTAGTTTGAACTTGTTTCTTCTAATCTAAATTCATGTTCCCGGGAAATTAAATTATGTTACATAAAAGAAAATGCACAAAATAATTTTTCATTTTGTTAATCATTAACACGAATTTAAAATGTTAATAGTATGTAGTATGTAAAGCTATGTTTATAGTTAGTATTTGTTGGTTAACATTCGAACGAATGACTTATTTATTTAATTACTTATAATATAGATAGATCCATTGTTTAAAAAAAGCTTCTATTTAGAACACTATTAAATTAGTTAACGATAACATTTAAATAATATAAATAACTGATTATTTGTGAGCTTGAATTATGAGACATTCATGACTAAATCTATATGTATGAAATTAGTATTTTTTAAATTTCAAGTTAACAAATATTCATTATGAATCTAAGAATTCGTTTGATATTTTATGTCAAATGACTTTATTTGTTGGGAAAAAGTTAAGTTATACACACACAACATTAGTGTAAAAAATAATAATAATTCTGTTTTAATATTATATTATACAAACTAATACTCAACATTATGCTTAAATTATACACAAATATCAATTTATACAACGACATTATGGTCGGTTGATTTTTTTTTGCAGCCATATTGTCACTGGCTTAATATTATTAATAGAATATGAGTGTTGAGTGTTATTTTGTTGTCGTCATGGCTCGTTGCAGTCAAACATGAAATGCAACAGCGATCAAAGTTTAACCCCATATAAAACGAGATATTATGAAATCTGAAACTTACCTATATATCGCAGTTTTTTCATATCTGTACCAAACCACCAGTATGACAGTGTCCTGAGGATCGTGGGGTATCGGTGGCGCAATGTCACACGGCAACAACGCAGTTCCGTGTACGACGGCGAATATCTGCCGCACTGCACCTGTGAACAAATCCCAATGATGACGGTGAGAAAAATGAAGGAGAAATATTATGTTTTAAGAACCATATTTACATAAAAGTTATGATTTTATTTTTGATTTGTGGAAGGGGGGGCTGATAAACCTTCAAGCATCGGCCCAGCTTAGGAGATAGGTAGTTATAATAAATACTATAATTTATAAATTATAATAAATAAAATATATATAAACCATGTAGTCCATACGACAGATCAGATCAGTCAATCATTTTTTGTTTAACACCCAATCTGTGTAAATGATACATTAAAATTATGAAATATGAGACAAATATAATAATATGACAAACAGTGTATGCATTTAACTTGAAAGGACTCAGGCTATATAGCTGTTTTAACGGTAGTTATCGAATAAAGTTATTATGGTTTTAACCATTTTTTCACTATACAAGTATGTGCCTAGTACCTATAACAGGTGTGTAAAGTAGTTTTTGGGGTTTTTTTTTTTTTAATGCAATAGTTTTGTGACCGGGCGAGATGAGTTTTCGTTTTTTATACCGATCCAAAAACTTAAAATTATGTATCTAAAACGTTTTATACACATCCTTGGTACCAAGTGCGGTCTCGTTATTAAGACTTACTATTTCTTCGTTAGAATATTATACTTGACAACACATATTAGCTGTTTTAATTCACTTTTTTTTCCATTTCATTATTTTATGCAAGAGATATTATACTGATTCAGATTTTTATTAACTATTATTATCCATTATTATTATTGTTTGTACAAATATATTATGTCCACGTTTCTATTATTCACAGTTTATGCAGATGGAACACATACTAGATGTGTAATTCTCATACGTTTCCCAACTCTAAATAAAATAACATTTGAGTTACACTTAAAATATTATTATTTTTAAGTAGACATATTAATTAAGACAAGCTTTCACGACATCATTAGATTTAAATAGGAATAATATATTGACCTGGGTGTTTTATTATTATGATTATCATAGTTAATACTTGCCGAGTGAGTGCCGTTATTTATGGCGTGACGATACGTTTGAACACTGTGGCACTTAAAAAAATGGTGATTTAAACACTTCCAACAAAATTTTCCAGAGATTCTAGAAATATATAAATCATAGCAAAAAGAAGTAAACTGCCCGGGTAAGTAGAATTTATTGAAGTTGGTATATTTTATTTTTTTAGTGCGTTATAAATTCTCGAATTTATTTAAATTATATACTTTTCAAATCCAAGTTATAACTCGTATTTTATATTTAGTAACATTTATTATTTTCTGAAATATATACCACGGAACATCCGTTGTGGTGTTGTGAAATCCCGCGATGCCATATTTTTACATATTTGATGACCATAAACACTATTAAGAGAACTGGATTTGAAATACATAGACGCATTCGTTTAATGAAATTTGAAATGAAAAAGTTCGGTAACAGGCTATAAATATTTTAACCTACGATAAACATACATTTTTAAGTATCTTGACTGTAGATTGTGAGATGACTGAGATGAATAAGTGTATGGAACCAAATTCAAACGACTGTAGTGTATTTTTTAAATAAAAATATCGCACGCCTTTCAGTATAGGCTGTATTAAGTTCAACAATTATTATCTATTTATTATTAACTTCTATCTGTATCATAAATCGAATTTCAGTACCTACTTACTAGATAATCATTTTTATCAAGTTACCACTATTTGCGTAAAACAAGGAACAACACAAAAGGGATTGGAGTTTCGGGTAAAACATGTTAGTATTGTTATAATCAACACCATCACCATAGTGTTTTGTTAAAATATCAGTTATTATAATACTTCGTTTAAGTAGAAAGGTAGGTGGTACGTAATAATAATAATTATTATTATTATTTTAGGCACATAATCATTTATATGAATATTATGTATCAGAATTGCACTATTCTCCTCCGAGTTTAGTTACTATTATTTCCAGTTAAAATATTACTATTCGATAAGGATCACGGGATAATTTTCAATGCCTTATTAACGTATTAACAGAGTAAACAATGTGTTGGCAAAAATAAATTATTCGTTTAGTTTAACTTGCTTTCGTTTATACACTGTATTTTATTAACCATAACATTCATGTTTATATAGGATTAATTTTACACAAGACACCCACTGATAAATATATAATTAATTTAAATTTATTATTGACGTTGTACACAGAAGTCCTTTTTTTGGGGGGTTTTTTAATTAACAGTTAAAATTACAAACATACCTACACTGAAACATAAATCGATAGGAAAAAAATGTCAACACTAATTACTATAAGTATCACTTTAAAAATAACTAATTTATCGAATTACTAAATGAATAAAATCTCGGCCACAGACACTGCAAAGTTTAACAATTTTCAAGTATATTCATATAAATTATTGCATTGTATTGTTATAACTGTTGACCTTAGACGTGATGATTTTATGACGATTAACATCATCTGTTATTATATAAGACAGTATATATTATAGAAGAGTCATAAACTGGGTTTTTAAAATTGTATGTGACAGCATAATATTTACAGCACTTCATTGCACATTATTTCTGAAATATAATACGGTAGCATCGAACTTGGTAATAATGATGAACTTACCCAAATTATTTGATAGTGATCTTATTTAATTAATTCTTTCGATTTCTCATACAATTTAGATTTTGGTTTTATTTAAATACTGGTTTAAAATGTTGTTTGAAATTTTGATAAATGTCTATAAATCTTAAACAAAATAAAAGTCTAGTAACCATAACATTGTACAAAAAACAAATAATTGTGATTTATACATAATATACAATAATATAGTAATTTCTTTTATCGTTAGATACTTGAAAATTTGTTCGATGGCGGCGAAAAAATGGATGATTCAATCTTCAGCTAATGATTGCGTTACTGAGAGACAGTACCCTTGTGACGTATGTATTATACAATTAACCGATACCAGATCTATGAATACACCTCAGACTACTGACACTGATGAGAATCAGTACTCTTGCAATGTATGTGATCAGATATTCATCAGAAGGAGCATTCTAACGGATGAGAGTAGGACGCTAACGGACGAGAAACGATACTCGTGCAATGTCTGTAAAGAGTCATTCGCCAGTAGCATCCAACAAATAATACACCAGCAAACACACTCGTCTGAAAAACCATATCTATGTAACCTATGCAACACGTCATTTTCTAACGCCGTTCAAATAATGGAACACTATCAAACGCTGCACATGGCTGAAAAACCATTCTTGTGTGACGTGTGCAATAAGTCGTTCAGTCAGAGTGGCAATCTGAAAATTCACCATGTAACGCACATGCGGGAGAATTATTACAGTTGAGACGTGTTTAGTAAAGCATTCATTTGAATGTTCATGATGAAGACACACAGGGAAACCCAAAGTTATCCCGATTCTAATATCTTAGATCTATGAACAAAGTAAAAAAATCTTGGACTAGATTGAAAGATTTTAAATTAGATAATCATATAATGATATCGCTTTTTACTGGATCATTTTTTGTGTAGTATTTTCTCAGCAAAAATAAACTGAGGATTCTGTCACTGGACAGGGTCCCTCCAAATATTATGGCCTAATGTAAATTATTATCCATTATATTATCATATTTTCTTAATGTGAACATGACATACAAACTACTTTAATAAAAAATAAATGAATAAGCCGCCATTGATTTTTTTAAGAAAATATCGTCATTATTTTTAATTTTTACTTAAAACTTTAAATTTAAATTATTTACGATGTGAGTAGTTCACTTTACAAATATTGTCAAATTAAAAATGTTCAGCAGCGAGTTTTGAAGCGATGTGGTATCCTAAATGATCATTAATTGAGACTCGACATCAATTCAACGTTTTTCTGAATTTTTACATTTAGCCGAGCTTTTATTATATCGAATTCACGTTTTTTTCTTTTGGTATTCTTTTGATTTGTAAACAGGCAATTTAATTATTTGTAATTTAAAATGTGTGTATTTCTATTAAATAATGCATACCAATATTATGACATGGCATCTAAACTACCCAATAATAATGTATTTTCTTCTAGATGATACTCTATAATTACACCAATGTATTTATTTCTAAGTTCATTCTTTATGTAATAACGATATAGTACTGTCACTTCCATAATATGATATAAAACAAATATACAAAATCATACAGGTTAACATTTGTCGAGAAAAGTAGTGTGGCTCTGAGAACCACTATTTGTTTGTACAATGATCAGGATTTCGTCTTAAATTAAATTTCATATAAATACATATATATAAACAATGTTTATTTAACATAATATGGTATAATATAGACGAACATTCTATGAATCAACATTTAATAAAACTCAACCATTCAAAATACTTGAATCTATATTTTTCCTAACACACTACATTTTTTACTATGTTAATAAGTATAGTTTATAATAGTTGGGTATAATAAAACCAAGACTATTCTAATGTTAATCTAACGTATGCCAACATAGCATGTATTCACTTTGACGGCTTTTAACTAAGCCATATTATACGTATTATAATCATGGTGTTCTGAAAATATAACAAAAAATATAAATTCTAATTTATTAAATAATATAAATTACTAAAACGTATGAATATATTGTATATACATTTATAAATATATATTTATCAATTAATTTTCTATGTCCATAACTATTTTTCTTTAAAATACGTTGGTAAGAATAAATTGGTTTATTGTAATACATATATTATGTAACGGCGCGTTGTATAGGCAAAACAGCTACAAGCGTCATTTCAATCGCTACGAATAATATTATATTGTTAATAGAATTTATTTATTCATTTAAGATACCTAAAACGATAAAATATAATAAACCTAATAAATGTATACGTGTGGAATTTAGTGTTCCAAAATGGCATAAGATCATCGATAATGCTGTAAGGAAATTAAAATAAGAAACTTTCTAATCGAAATAATACATATTTTATTCCATGTACAATTTACATTGTATGTAATCACTTATCAATAGTATATAACAATTTTTTTTTTTAGAGCCTCGGTATCTTTAACCATTGCTGTTACCATTTTACAGGTTAACATTATATTATCAAAAAACATTGATATTAGTTTAACAGTTACAAATTATTAATTAAATTAGTCTTGGTTATAAATGGCATTGTAATATTTATGTTGTATGGAGGGAGGGCTTTAAAGAGGATGTCTGTTACTCCTTCTTCCAGTTTATCCGTTTCATAGGATTACTATTTTTATGCAAGGGTTTTATGTGTATTATTTATATTTTAAAGGTCTTAATCTTAAATGCGTTCAAAAAAATCATAAATTATATAATAAGTATAAAAGAACATCTAAGACAGGAGTATTAAGACCCACAAAAAAAATCCTGATCACCATAATTCATAATCCAGCCAGGGAATCTAATTCATATTCTAAGATATATTTTCATGCTCATAAATATTTTACTTTTACTACTTAAATAAATTTGAAAAAAAAAACAAACCGAGAATATTATTTTTGTGGATCGTGGAAATAAAAGATTGTTCATCACACATCTACTGCTCTAAGATAATAATTTTACTTGAAATCAATATTTTTCCACGTTCAAAAATGATTTTAACTGTATATTTTTACGAACGACAACGATTTTCAACCGAATAACAATTATAAATAATAAATATAACTAAGTAATAGATCCATATTTTATGAGCTTTTTGTGAAAATATAATATACATATAGTCGAACATTTTAAGCTATAACTAGATATTATTATGAGTATATATTATTATGTTTGGTGTAATTATTCTCAGAATAATCATTTTTTAATGTTACTTATTATCCAAAGAGAGCTTGGATTGGAGTTTCATAGCGTTTAGATGATTTAAAAAGTGTCAAGAAGAATCATTGTATTCGGGAAAATGTTTAAGATTTTTCCGAGTGAAGTAAATTGAAATTAAATAGGAAGAAACTTTTTATGGACAATGATCAGAGGACTTAGGCAGAAAAGTACTGTAGGTAGTTTTGTTTGTTTTGAATGATATTATCAACTAGGTAATACACTGACCTAAATTCGAGAAAACGTATTACTTGTAAATTGAATATGCCACAGAAGAAAAAAAAAACATTTCCACTACGAAATAATTATTTCTTTTTGATCATACCACTAGATTATAATATTATACATCATTCGGCTCTGTGGACGCTGAGTAACGATGGTGTGCGTACATTAAGGACCCTCCACACTTTCGCTCTACATTTTTAACCCTTGACCGGCGTCGCCGTCGACAGGATGGTGTGTTTATACGCAATTTTTATAAAAAAAAAATTAAATACGATTTTCTCACAAACTCCACTACAAACCAAACCTACGCGACTCAATACATTTCGTATTATGCACATAAAAACACAAATGTTGTGTTGATGATACTCAAGAAATTTTCAAGCTTATCGGCATAAAGCAGCCTCAATAGAGTATACAAGTGTTACCAACGCACAAGAATGTATAAAGTATATAATAATTAAAAGTAGGTGTATACCCCCAAAGTGTTATATGTTTATATGGCATGGTCGTCGTTATTATACATGTCGTCCCATCGTATTTAATCCTTGATGTTATTTTTTGCTAAACGTACTTCATAACCACGGAATTACAAGTCTGATAATTAATGATAATACAATAATATAATGCACGATAATTTATATTTTATTACTAAAATAATTATAATTTTATTTTGATTGATTTAAATAACATGATGTTTTTAGTCGGTTAATCTTTTTGGAAATACTAACGATATTTGAATTTGTAATTGATTTAACAGTTCAACTAGTTTACAAACATATTATCGAGATCAATTTACAAAATGGCCGTTTTCGCAAAACGAGATGAATAAATGTATTATAAAATAAAAATAATATTTGGGTACTACGTTTGATCATAACCAATATCAGTTAGATTGATTTTAACTTAATTGTATATTTAACGAGCGTTTGACAAAATGGTTGTTGGCTTCAGTTTAATAAGATTATGAAAGGCGAACTCATCTATTCCCGATTATTATTAAAATAATATAACAAATACAATTATTATAAGGTTTATGTAATCACGCAAAATGGTGTTATTGAGACATTGCTTTCAGCTGGCTCTGGTCAGTCTGAATTAGAACAATATAACAGAAAAAAAAATCATAGAAATTGGTGTTAGTGGAATGTGCGTTCGATGTCAACAGGGGAAATATTAAAAATGGATCGTGGTTATATAGGACGAGGGTAAATTTTAGTCGGCTCACGGGGGTAGTATACAGACGACTGTAGGTATAAGGGTTTAAATACGACCCTGTCACCGAGTAGAGTTCACCGTTTTAATATAATATAACGCCGACGTGCGTACCTATATGAATATCATACGTTGGCCCCGAAATAGTCACAGGCTCCCTTTATGTATTATAATATTATTATTATGATATTGTTTATTCGCTCTGATTAAGACTGGACGCTGGAGACGCATTGTGTTTATTTTAATTAAACCTCTCTATCCGCGTGTACCACGTATACCTACACCATCATGGGAGAGTAATCAAAATAATGATAATAATAATAATAATAATAATAATAATAATAATAATAATAGTGATAATACGCACACGTCAATAACATTTTACATTATGTAGTATAGACGGATATATGCAGACTATCGTCGTTGTATCTCCGAGGGTGCGATTTGAAATGTATAATTTTCTCTTTTGTAGAGGAGACATGATATCTTTGAAGAGCATCCAGGCATATCCGGCCGTCTGTCGATAACTGTTAGAGCTAAACGGTCTAATTTAATTGATTCCGGTGCCTACGATGGCGCAGTTACGGTCTTTTGTGTGAAAAACTTGAATAAAATATATTATTCGTTTGGACGTTTTTGCGAAATTGATATTTTTTACATGATGTTTTGTATTAGATTGTAATAAACAAAAATTAATAAAACACGCAAAAAATGTATTATCACATTTAAAATAATTTATCTGTTTAAATTTTTCAGATTTGGAAATAAATTAGAAACGCAATTAAAATCTCCGAGTAGTCAATACGATATAGCATAACTATTAGATTGAATTAGAAATTAAATATTAATCATATGAATTTATAGTGCAGACGTTTTTTTTTTAGATTTTCAAACCAATCATAACCACCCGAAAGTCGAAATGTCGGTAATTTCATAACAATTTATCATATCGTTATTAATAAGGCTGTGAATTTGGTGGAATATTATGTTTTTTATAGCTTTTTTTAAAATATTGTGTTCTAAATAAAAAGTTCGAATTATTCATCAAAAAAGTCAATTTTAAATCC